TAAGGGTGACCTTATAATTATGAAACGGTGCAAAAGCCGACACTATCTTCAAAAATTCATAAAAAATTTGAGGTGAAGGATATTGCCACCAAAATTTGAACACGAAGGCACCTTGTGATGAGGAATCTTCCTACGTTTGCCAAAAAATTCTGTTTCGGCTGCTTTCTCCAGAATCGCAAAAATCGAGGGTGACCTTATAATTATGAAACGCACTGTACTGTTAGTTTTCTTTCGTTCTCTCGTGAAAAAATTTTGAAAGAGAGAATTCAAGGGACGATTATCTTTTCAGATTGGAGCAAGCAGTTACGGTCATTTTCAGAACAGATTTATTCGGAGGTCGGCGTAGAACACTTCGGCTTCCTCTGGAGGTGAAAGAGTTATGCTTATGGCTGTTCGCAACTATTCACTCATCATCGGCTTTGCTAAAGCTCAGTAGTTTTGTTGTTTCGCTACTAAAAATGACAGAAGACCAAAAGAGGTGTCTGAGCATCAGGGCGTCCACTGATTAGGGAGAAATGAGGTATTAGGGTTGGGTAGGAATTATCGAGAATTCACGGGTCTTTGTCGCAGCTCTCAGAGTTCTATTCTTTACTTATTCAACCTGCAAGTAAAGGGTAGACGGCGTATTACCCTGCGAGTTTTGTGTCTTTTTCAGCCCTTTACCTATTCGGTGGGCGGAGGTGGTATAGTCAACAAGTGCTGCACTATCATACGGTCACGGGTTCGAATCCTCAATCGATATCCGCCTAGACCAACTAAGCCTTCTATCCCTCCAGAGTCGGTTAATTGGTACAGACTCGTCTGGGAGGATAGTAGTGCTGACTTGTACATTGGCTGGACACCGCAAGTCATTACATAGGCAACCGACGCATTCAATACGCCACTTGGATTCTGGATGGATGTCTAATGCGGTGGCGCAACCCTCGACGGAATTGACACCCAAAGATTTTATCTTTTATTCTTCATCTTTTGTCTTGTTCAAAAAACGGTCCTGAAAGGTCAAATGGCTTGAGCGACACATTGCGATGAGGTGGAAAGGGCAATTGTCACTGTCACTGCACACTGTACGGAGGGATTTACACAACTATTACACATCGCTGAGGGTGATCTGGCGACAAGCATTTCCGTTTTCTGAAGCAGCGGTGCATTTCGGGACAGACATTGAAAATACTGGTACGCTTCTAGTAAGGGTTCTTCATGCCGTAGCACAAATGAAACTTACAGAGATTCGTGAATTAAACTTTCAGTAAGAAGCCATGACTATAAATGGGCAGACATGATGCGGAGAGATGGATTAGATAATGTTAGGGGGAGGGGGAATTAAACTCTTTCATCAGAAAATTACTTCTCCTTGAAAAGATTTTTTCTGCTTGGTCCAGTTGCCCAGAATTTCTTAGGATCACCTCGATAATTCATCTACACTTACAAGGTACGCTATGGCTTTGTTAGGGCAACAGAAAAGAACAACATTTTTGTCTGTTTGTGCAAGACAACGGGACCCTGGGCGTCTAGCCAAACAAGACCCATCCTGTCCATGTTGGGAGCTACTTTATGTTCCATCAAATTCAGCTCATCCGTTACCGCCTAACATTCAGAGCTCTGTTCAATGCGAATAGAGCTCGACCCTTGCATTGTCATAAGGAGAGCAGCTTCCACGAGTGACGTACCAGTTCTAACCATAAAAGTTGTGTAAATATAATGATGTAGTAATGTATTCTTTGAAGGTCGTGAAGGAAGTCCACGGTGACGAGTACACGAGGCCGCCAACGACAGCATGCATTGTCCGAATCTTGCGGGTGTGGTGCAGTAGGATCGAAAATGTCGCGTCGCAGCAAGAGTTACACCGCGTGCGAAGGAATGTAGCAGAGTGCAGCAGCAGGTAAGAAATTTCGGAACAAAAGAACTAACAACAGAACCGTGCCTAAAATAATGATCGCATATTGATTGACCTGTATGAAGAACGGTACTGCTGTAATAACGGCGGCGCGACAGCTGCGTGCGGCGAATCGGTTACACAAAACCGATATTACCGCCCGTCTCCCGAACCTTGTAATAACTATATAACTATGCAATTTCCTCAATTCAAAGTATCATTACAAAGATGCAATCTTCAATCAGAAATGTAGAATAAACATAATCAAGCGATAAAAGGAAAGAGTCTTTGACGCTAATCAATCCCGTTTTTGGGCTGCACCCCGCATTTGACTTCCAATCAGATAAAAGGCCTTGAGTGAGGCCTTTTGTCCTCCCAAAGAGC